TCTCGTAAATTAAACAGTCAATTAAACAGCCATCAATCACTTAACACACAATCTGACTAATACCCCATTCACACCTAAACGTGTTTAGTTAAACTATGTTTTCATTAGGAAAAAAATTGAGGAACTAGAAACCTACAATATAATGAAACTTTCTAAAATATTATCAGAGCAAGACAAAGGATAGCTTCATGCATTATTTCACCAAATATTGTGTAGTGTTCGTAGATAGTTTTCCAAACCTGTTTAGTTAAACCACTTTTAAACATGTTTAAGCCTTGGTGTGAATGGGGTATTTGTTCGACTTTGTTAATTTGTGAATTCGTGCTTGATAATGGAATCAAGATTACTCCGAAACGTCGGATTTTGGCGCTAATTTTCTTTGAAGTACATTTTCAAAATCTGTCGAAAATCTGACGCAGACTAATGTGATGTCATAGGAGAAATTTACTGGGGTAGTAAAATATCCTGTACAAAACATAATTATTTCACTCAGGGTTTATAGAAAGGTTATTGCAAATTTGTTTTCCCATAGTAATCAGTGTTTTGATTTTAAAATGATGACAAATAAACCCAATTGCATCATTCAAATCATATAAAAATATTTCACCATTCGACTATTCATTTCATGTAGAATCAATACTGAAAATATTGAGTTAGGGGTCATAGGCACTTTGTCTTATTTCATTGTTAAATAAACCCATATTGAACAACAATATATACAGCACCAATCATATAGATTTTTCTACAAACACATAAACTAGTATAACTATAAGGTGTTATTAAAACTGTTAACAAAGGAATTACAGATTAACATGCAATGAGATCAGTACTGTACACACGATACAAAACATTATTTACAAGAAATCAATAATCAGATAAGTAAATAGGTTTTAAAAAAATTCTTTTTACAAGAGACTGGAGTTGTTAAACAGTACTTGTAAAACTGGTTTCCGAAAGAATAAACATACACTTTCAAAGATATCGAAGCCAGACTAATAAAATAAATATTGTTATATTTGCATTCTCTACTTGGAGCCAGTTTTGGCTTGTCTATGCAATAATCAGTGAACTGTAAACTGCAAGTTTGAAGTGCTTTCGTGGTCTATTTTCTAAACTCAACATGGGCTTCCCTGTTAGAAGAGTCTCCCTCGCTAGCGAAGTTCTTGGCAGAGAAAAGCCATCTGCTATCAGAAAAAACATGGGCTATATTGGCTGCATAATGAAAGTACACGTTCGAATTTTTGGACTAGAAGAGGCAAATGAGTAGAAAAATATTCCCTAGATCTGTACAAAGACATTATGATTTGTAAATTGGTATCCGCTTGACCGGGTTATGCAGTCGGTTTTGGGTTTTTATTCGTTAAACGCTTTCGAAATTAATTTATCCGCTCAGTTTATATGTGTTCGGTATGCGATTTCCTTTCGTGACTTAGTTCCTCTAACAATACTCCCCGTAGTTTTCCTTTTTTAGAAACATTGAAAATAAATTGTTGTCTTTCAAGTTTATTGATGGTGTTATAGTTCCTAAAGATATGAATTTTCACCTCTTACCTTTATTTTATCGTGCGTCCAGCGAAGACAATATCTGTAGTAGCTAACCATTAGATAATTTACAGTTTAAGTGGAGGGGGGTATCGGTCCTCTCCTTTCGTCTCCCTCTATCCCACCCACCCCTCCCTTGAAATAATTCCTAGACAAATTAAAAATTTATAATTATAAAACGTGGGGTCGCCGAGAGCCATGCAGTGTTGCATGAGACGCAGGCCAAGGCCAATACTTCATTTTACAGTTCCGATTTAGTGACCACGAATAATAGCTCAGAGTCGAAGTTAAAATCGCTTCAAATAGCGAAACTATAAGCAAAGTATCAAGAAAACCCATTCTTGCTTCTTTGCAGCAAAATATCTCGGAAAACAGTTCGGTGACCCCCATTTTTCTTTGTCTTAAAATAAAGATACGGCTATCAACATCTACAAAATATGTAAATCTAAAAAAATTCTGATTGCAAGGGAATGATTGACACCAAACATAGGACTGAAAACCCACCTGCTAAGGTGTTTCGATACAGTTCTTGCCTTGTGACTTCCAACTTCAAGGACCATTTTAAAATTATTAGAATGAATCAACCGACATGAGCTTTTGCAGGTACAGATTATATATCCTTGAGAAGACACGTAGCTAAATTTAAAAAACAACCGTTTGATCATGAGCCGTTTATGAGAAATCTCGGAAAACGATGCTAAATCTTTACTTAAAACGCTCTTCGAAAAAAAAAAAAATTCGTTCTCGAGACCAGCAAGAAAATAGTTGACCAAACTTACACGGTTTAAAAACAAGAGCAACAGCAACAATTTAGGATATTTTTGAATAATTTTATTCCATAGTAATTTTTTAAACCGCCGAGTGCGCAAAAGCAATACACAAAACTGAGAGTATGAAATGTTCGTGCGATTTTCTCCAAATCTAACATAAGAATTTCTTTAAATCTTTGATATTTTGTTTGTCATGAATTGGGAATTCTTAGGAGTTAACAGTTTTTCTACAGCACATCTGAATCGCGCACACTTTTATTTTTACCAATTTCCGATTTTTCTCGATTTTCTTGCGTTGAAAACTTTGATTTTAATAAAATATGCATTAGTACAATCTTCAAACCAAGAGCAACAACTTGTATAAATTCTAAAATGATCCAGCAAACAGAACATTGCCAACGCGCCGATTGAAAAAGTTCTGTTTGGTGTTCACGAAACTGTATCAAAACACCTTAACGAATTCGAATTGTACGCATTTTGTCTGCATAGCACGGATTGAAAGCTTCATGAATCCTTATCACAAACTCTTACTCACATGCTTTTTATTTGGAAATGTTAAAGAAAGTCATATTTGATGGCCATGAATTTGTTTCCTGCATTTCTTTGATGTTTTTGATTCTTTTCGAAGCGTTTCTTTCAGAATTTTTTCTGAGTCTTTCAATTTGCGACTGCATAAGTTGCTTATAGTGAGTGTTAAAATGAACAGTTATATTCACCAATATTTCAAATTGTTGTCAGCTCATTCAAAGCCATGTTTACAATTTGCTTAAGCTTTTTGTCAGTTAACAATTTGCACTAATAAGTGGTCCTCATACCTAAAAAGTAAAATACAATACAATACAGTAATGACTACACTATATCAAAACTGAGAACAATAGTAAAATATAACTATAAAAATATGAGATACTCAAAAAACATGTGTAAACAAACATATAAAAAACATAGGCTAGTAAATATAACTATACCATGACAGAACAAAATGCTCAATATCCTTATACTTTTTACGTTAATCTAAAATCGCCTTTAATAGTCACCAATTGTCTTCTAAAACTAAAGAGAGAATGGCTGACCAACTTGTTATGAACCAATCAGAGCTTTCGTAATTAATGAGGCGGGAAGTTTGAATTTCCAAAACTTCAGTTCAGCTTGTGTTGTATGACTAAAATTGACCCTGAGGGGATGGGGAGAGGATTATGTTTCAAGTAACTAAAGTAACTCGTGGGTGTGAAGGGACTTTTCACTCATGATTGGAGTAATCTTTAGAGTCTCGGTAGACTAGTGTTCGTTGTCAAGAATTATAAAAAATCCGAAGAACACTCATGATGCCAGTGATTCTTAGATCTAGTAATAGTAAACTCATACTCGAATTATATTCGTTTATAATCTAACTATTTTTTCCTATGTTATGCATTGTTATGCTATTTTCCTATTGATCATGTTACTGTTCCAATAAACTTCCCTTAAATTAAGACTATTTAAATTCCAATTAAAATAGACATTCCCTTACTTAAAAATCCCTTATCAGGTTTGCTTTCTCGTCTATCGGAACATATTTTAATTACTTATTTCAGCTGTCTTACGAAATCGTTGCGCTTGCGTTCCAAACGACAAAACCGTATTCTCTTCCTTGTCTTGCAACAAGAAGACATTCTAGTATGTCTTTATTATGGTCAAACGGAATCTTGTGGACAAAAAGTTTGTTTTTCATGTCTTTGCCCAAAGCCCACTGCAAATCTTTCAYAGATAWCCAACACAACGTTCGTACCCATTCTCCGTAACACCYGRYAYKTYSRTCAWWCCASKRCAAAGCACGTGYKATATGTTCTGGCTGTTCCCCACGGATCCCTCCTGGGGCCTGTGGATGCTGTTGTAAGGAGGCGTAAATAGTCTCATCAGGAACATAGGTATCTTTTAGGAATTCAGTGAAATCTTTCCCAACCTTGCTGTAGAGAACAAACCTGACAAAGTCTCTAATGRCTACGATGTGTGTAGATCCTTTGTAGATAGATACATTGTGTGGYGGTGGGGACTTTTCAGTCCCGGTCCTTTGAACAAGACCGCCATTTAAAATGTGGACTTTTTTAGTTCGTTCTTCGTTATGTTTCGGCATGGGGAWACTCTCCATGCTATTTGTGTTGTTGAGCATTTTYAATGCTACTACGATTTGTTTGTTCTCGTATAGCGGAAAATCCTGTCCAATTAAACTAATGTAATATTTCCACTTCACTGATGATTCTAAAAGTTCTTTCATGCATTCWAACTGAGCTTGAACAATTGAGAAATGTCCCCATACAACATCAACTCTCTTGGCTGCAATAAATACATTAGGCAGACAACGTATCATGGCCTGGATGGCTCGATAAAAGACTTCTGGGGATTTCTTGTCGATGTGAATGCAGTGAACATTGTGTGGCATGTAGATAGCCCGGAGAATCCTCTCAAACAGAGAGGCACCTTTGTAGATTGTGAAGCCATAAGCGATTGGTAATTTCGTTTCTTCTTTCGTCACATTAGGATGAGCAAAACGAGTGTGTAAAACGTTGTCGCAATTTTCATCGGRCTTGTAGACATCGAGGATTTTAAAGTCGTTCTTTGTGATTGAAGTTTTATTTACGTTTTCTTCACCAGAAATAAGTTTTTTGCACCTTTCCCACTTTGATTCCTTTAGCATAGTAGAAAAAAGAAATCGATTATTGATTCTTTGTATTTTTCCTCTGCAGAACACAACACTTGCTGTTCCGCTGTACGATTGCCAGAGACCGCGGAGGCGAGATTGCAATGGACTGAAAGTGCATTGAAATAGACCCTTTCCCGAAAATTTAAATGAGTTCTGCTAAATTTAAAAAAAAAACAATACCAGCATTGGAAAAAGCAAATTTACTTTAGTAACCCTACGAAGATTCATGATATTAGGTGTTATATCGGCCGAGAAAAAGTTGAAAATTGACATATTTACAAACATTYGTACGTCTGGGGTTTATATACGCAATAACCCCAGACATACACACGGTGACTTTTTGAGCCGTTGATCCTTCGTTGAGCCCTAGAGGAATCAACAGCTCAAAATGTGAAATGAAATAGTCTCGGTTTGAGCCGTGAGATAGGCCACCATTTGCAGGAAATAATCATATGACTATATGACTCCTACTAGATGGCAAAAACTTCCTTTATGTAAATCACGTTTTACTGGATTACTAATGTCTTATCCTAAAACCTTTTTCAAAAGGACTTTTTTCCTCTAATAAGAATTTTATTTCAAGAAACGAAGCATTTTAAAGTTTGTTTGCCATCCAGCAGAGCCTTTCCCAAGGGACCTTGAGCTGACTCGATTCTTTAGCAAAGTGGTATATCAGCACGTGACTGTTTGTTGCAAATGGCCCATTGCATTTTGTTCCCAGAGGATCTCGGGCTCGCTGAAACTAACTCCAGCTTAGCTCTCAACACCAGATACGGAATTTTATAGTATTATTCAGAGGATTGCGCGCGTATAGAGAATAAACATAATTGTGAAAAGTGGATCCAGTTTTGGAAGACACGAGTGAAAAAACGTCTGCGCATGCTCTGAATCCGTATGCAAATTAGTCAAAACATATGTAAGTTTGACTTTCAAACATTTCTGATAAATAGACAGTTTTCGAATTGCAAATTACCGCTGTGTTCCTTGATCACAGACTCATTTGCACAGGGTTAGCCTTGTCGGCCTCAGCTTTGTAGCTTTTCAGGTGACAAACTTTATTGAAATAAGTATATATGAGCAGCCGATCAGTAGATTGGTTTATAGGTGGGATTAATGAAAGAGATATGAACTGCTTRTGGCTTACCTTTTTTATAGGAGAAAGGGAAGATTCCTCAATCTGTCTCAAATAAAATATATTCATAAGAATTACTAACTGTTATTATACTCTCTTGTTATTATAAATCTCGCGTTCTGATTGGTTGGGGTACATGCCTTATGAGAACACAGCACGCGCGTATCTTTTCTATTTCGTCAATTAATAATGGTTATTGTATACATCTGTACAGTCAATTCAAAAAACGTTGTCGTCGACCGGCTCAAGCCTACGCGACTGGACCGAAAAGAATATGGGTAAAAATCACTGAAGCGGTTAAATATTCGTTCTGAATTTATTGTTCCCGCTAGTAATAAGATAATAATGGCGAGAAACAATCCATCAAATGCATGTCTTTGGGTTTAGGGAAAGAAAAACAAAGTAGTTATGATTCAGTTTACAATTTCGAAAATATGAAGGCATTAAAAAAACGTCTTCTTCAACATTTCCCGCTCGCCTAGGTTCGTGCTGTAAACCAGGCATTACTAGTCAGATAAGATTATGGAGTCAACTCGGCTTCAATGATTACTACCCAGAGTTCCTTTCGGTCCAGTCGCGTAGACTTGAGTTGGTCGACAACATTTTTTGAATTGACTGTATAAACTTGCTCGCTATATTTCCCCTGACTGGGATGTGGTGATTTAAATACTCACCCTGTAGTCCATTTTCATTATTCCTGACTGCAGAATAATCAGTACAAACATTGTCAGCGCCGAAATAGTCAAATTATATGTAAGTTTGACTTTCAAACATTCCTGATAAATAGACCAGTTTGAATTCCAAATTACCGCTGTGTTCCTTGATTACAGACTCATTTGCACTAGGTTAGCCTCGTATCAGTGTTTAAATATTCACAAATACCAACGGTAAAGTAAAGAATGCACAACTTCAACAATACAAACATTTTGCAACTCGACGGACCTTGACTGGAACACGTGAATATTCTGCACAAAATCGAGGCTAACCCTGTGCACATGAGTCTGTAATCAAGAAACACAGCGGTCATTTGGAATTCGAAACGGGTCTATTGGACTTCACAAAATGTCACACAAACTTAGTGTTCATGCTTGAAACTTAAGGATAATTCTTTCATATTATCTCATGGTTTGGTCTGACAAAAGTATACTCTCGAACATTTTCGTATACTTGGAGAAAAGAAACATTTATTTTCTCACACAAAAACTCTTCAAAATTCTTAGAAAACGAGCTGAAATGCACGCATGCGCAAAAGACTTTCTCTAGTGTCGTTCTGGAATAGATATATGAGCAGATGATCAGTAGTTAGGTTTATAGGTGGGATTAATGAAAGAGATATGAACTGCTTGTGGCTTACCTTTTTTATAGGAGAAAGGGAAGATTCCTCAATCTGTCTCAAATAAAATATATTCATAAGAATTACTAAYTGTTATTATACTCTCTTGTTATTRTAAATCTYGCGTTCTGATTGGTTGGGGTACATGCCTTATGAGAACWCAGCACGCGCGTATCTTTTCTATTTCGTCAATAACGGTTATTGTATATAAACTTGCTCGCTATATTTCCCCTGACTGGGATGCGGTGATTTAAATACTCACCCTGTTGTGTCTGTTGTCCATTTTCATTATTYCTGACTGCAGGATAATCAGTACAAACATTGTCAGCGYCGAAATAGCAGATAGTATAATAAAACCTTTTTTTGGGTTGAACAAGGCCATGAACCTGACAAACAAAATGAAAGAAATCTTTTACAATTATCAATTTTAAAATAACTTACAAATTTCTCGTCGCGCGCTGATTCAGTCTTTATCTTCAATTCTATAAGAGGACAGAAAGATAAGCTGACTTCAAGGAGCGCGCGCTCTTTCCTTTGATTGTTTTGATGGACTAAAAACGAGAAGTATTTATCGTTTAAATGAAATCAGTGTTTTATGTGTCTGTCCACTTATTGACGATAAATTTCGTCATCGCATTGTCAAATAAAGTGACTACAATGTGATGACGCAAATTATCGTCAACATGGCTATACTGCTCTTATTCTAAAGCAATGATGTTCGGCAATTTTGCTTCTTGTGCGTTAATTTTTGTCATAGGAGTGTGCCAAGAGAGCATAAGTAAGAGATGGAAACTTCTTATTGTGGCGCGCGCCATCTTAATTTCCGGTTGGGCTATTTTTAGTAAACGGGTGTAGTTTAAATTTCGCCTTACCCTTCTCCCGTGCGTCAACTAGTTACTATGATTGAAAATTGCAATGGCGGTGCTGTTTAATTTCTTTTTAAAGTGTTCAGAAAACTATTTGGCTCAGTCTTGAGATCTCGTAGACCAAAATATTGTGTAAGCATATACCAAATTCTATTTAATGGTCTTGCTCATACTCTTTTTCGTTTCTGTTTTACTTCGGCAAATAATCGTTCGAGTATTTTCTTTCAAATTACACTTTTACCGAGTTACCTGTGGATAAACCGGTCATAAAATGCCATTGTTTGTTTTTTTCCTCCTCGACAAAATTGCCAAATTGCCAAGTTGCGCAATAGTACCCAGGGGTCTTCAAGAGACCTTTGTTGGCATCTGCTATGGGGTTCACATCCATAGTCCAATCAATTATCATGTACCAGATGTCAATCAATGTCACTATGTTGTCAAATGATTATGATTATGAGCAGATCACGTGGCAGAGGTTTATGTCTACGCATGTTTTATTTCGTTGACCGCCGTAATTCAAGACAGCCGAACTAGAAATATCAATTTCGTAAACAAGGATTTCAATCCCAGAAGATAGCGATGATTTCGAAGCGATTATTTCTAAGAATTTTCAATGAACTTCATGAGCAATAGCTTGTTTTGTTTAAAGGGGCACTTGGATGAAAATGGATAAAAATTG